CAAGAAGAGAAACTGATAGCAAACAGCATGCATCCATGATCAGACTGCGCGGATGTGCAGGCTGGTCTGGATCCATGCAGGTCGCAAACCCATTATGTTGGTTTTGTCGTGACACGGCTCATTATTATGCTATTGTATTGTTACTATTGTGCTTCTCAATAAAGTAAATTATTTATAAAATTATTTAAATTTGTTCTATAAATTACATGATTTATTTCATCGAGTGGTATGAAAATAAACAGTTCGTGAGTTCATGTGTGGCGGTAGCTTCGAGTGAAATATGATAATTTTCATACCTCATGATGAAAATAAATCTTGTATTTATAGAGAAAAGAAGTTCGTTTATTTTATACATTTTTCACTTTATTAACATTGCAATTTGAAAAACATTCCTCTTAAAATGTGTGTATTGGATGAATTTAGACGAAAGTAGCCAGTGAACATACGGAAAATATGTTTCAGTACAGTAAAAATACGGAAAATGAAAATACGCATTCTATTTCATCAATATATCTCAATATTTCATGTTAATGTTTAGATTCGTCTTCATATCATAATGGTAAACAATTTATAATGCGTGACGCATATGTATTTTGTAAATAAGAACCGCAAACAATATTCTAATTATAATTATACAATACTTGTTACTATGTTTAAATTTTATTTGCTTGATTCCGTAGAATCAAAACGGAAAATGGTCACACGCAGCGACAAAAAATGGTTATGCATGGATAACGTTCAACCCTGCACTATACACGAGAAAACTGACCATAAAACACTGGTACGCAGTCCAGTGTTCAACGCTACATGTTTTGGGTTGCAGTCCAAACGGTAAATTAACATTCAGCATTTCAGAAAGTCTACTAGTCCGAACAACATAATTATCTTTTCTTTATAATTGAAGCTAATAAAGTTTGAAAATCTTTTAAAAAGGTCATAGCAATTGAAACTGTTTTCTTAAATTAAGATGAGAAAGAAAATTTATATAAAGGAATCTGATATAAAATAAGGGATCAGTACCCGGAATTAATGACTATACTAGAACCTTAAAGACTGGTTTACATTTGTTACTTTTTTCAAGTCGGTTTTATATATCTTAAAAGATTTAAACGTCGCATACACTTATTTTTCAGAAATGTTTAACCAAACCTTTTGCAAAAATGGCGGCACAGCTATCGAACAAGATCAATGCGCGTGCCCAACCGGATATATTGGATCATCTTGTGACATACCCGGTATTAACATCACTTTATATTTATAAAATTGCACTAAGGCTTTTAGACCAGAAAGTTATCAAGTGGTTCAAAAATCTCGAAAAATATTTCCAGTCCGGTCATATCAAAAACATCAGTAGAGTCTCTTTAAATGATAAAAGATTATAAAAGAAAATACCGAAGACTTTTAAATACAATCTGTTTATAAATAAAGCACGATTTGCGTCCGTCTAACTAATGCCAAGCTTATACATTTAAGAGCCTTATGTTGAAAGGTTCTTATAAATTTTTAGACATTGGCTTTGGCGAAAATATGTATAAAATAAATGGCGCTGTAACACCGCAAAACGTCCTTACCGCAAAACGTACGCATGTAGACGTTTTGCGGTGCATATCGTACTTGGTACGTTTTGCGGCGGGAGTGTGTAATTGCGTCGCATATCGTCCATATAGGAATTGGACTGAGTGAATGACAAAAAATATTAAAATTAAGCTTTGCTTTTGACAATAGCTTTTCATATAATTGCATCATTTTGTGTTCTTGACTATGGAGGTTTGGTTCTACCGTGCATTTTTACGGGGATGGGTGGGGACTTTTGACAGCGTAGTCGTATTTGATCGAGATAGCTATATTGTCATGGAGATAGGGCCTTTTAGCCGCCTCGTCATAATTGAGCACGAGAGCTTTCGTCGCGGGAAGCGAGGGTAGGTATGGGAATCATCTTAGCTCATAAATGAACTTGATCGAGACCTTATTGTAATACATATTCTGAATAAAAAATTTTAAGAATGGAGAAGAAACGAAAGCACTAATAAGGTGAAATATAGCGCGTTTCTTTTTAGATTTAAACTATAATCTAACTTTGTTGAGATTTTATTGTCGTAGATACTCTCTTGAAAGTCGTCAAGATTGAAGAAGAAATGAAAGCGTTGGAGTGGTAATAATGTGAAATATAACAGATATTGTAATTAAAGGGCAAATAACTCTGGCTTAGGGTATGTGGATGTTAGAGTGGTAACAAGCTAAATTTGGACGGGCAGACAGGCGCATACTCCGGTAAAATTAACACACACTAACACCTGATGATAACTGGTCAAATTCAACGAAAATTAAATAAACTTTAAAATATGGACGTTATGCGGCAGGACCATGCCTTTTTGCCGCAAAATGTACGTCAGAAAATTTGGACGATATGCGCTGCAAAACGTCCGTATATGTACGTTTTGCGGTACGGACGTTTTGCGGTGTTACATGGCGCGTATATTGGTGATTTTATTTAAATGATACAGTACAGTTTCTCGCTTTATTGTGATATTTAATTCAAAGACTCTCGTATTCATAGCCATTTGAAATAGACTGAATTTAAACTACAAATATATTTCTATTCTCGTTGAAAAAGTCAATATAAAATTTCGACTTTAGTACCATTTTATATATTAGTTATACACATTTTTACAGCTTATAATGCATGTATTTGTTAAATGAATATGTAGTTGTAAGTATCATATAGCCAAGGTAGTGGGACCAAAATTATATAGTATATAATTGTTTAAACACGACATTAAAAGGTAAAAAATATCAGTAATGTAGGATCCTACATAGGGCTGCATTTGACTAAAAATTGGAAAGGAAATAAAAGAAAGTGAGACAAAAAAAGGTATCAGAAGAAAAGAAAAACGCAGCCGGTCTTTTGTTGTATATAATCTCATTTAAACCGTCGATATTAGATATTCAGACAGTAACGTTTTTTTCGTGTTTTTTTTTATTTCAGTGCGGGACATGACTGTTGATGACTTTGATTTTGTGGTGAATATCTCGAATATCGTTTATACAAAAGACGCAGCGTTTAATATAAGCGGCGAAGTCTCATTTACGTTTGATGATCAATCTACAGACACCAAATCTCGTCGACATTTGCACCACTCACTGGGCCATCTACTTCATGGCTTGGCTCATTTTACTGGTCATGGAGGAAGTCTTCACTATTCGGCGACTAATTTAGCTGGTTTCCTGCACAGTAATCATCACACATATGGGCACCATCCTTCACATAGCATATACTCGGGTCTAAATAATTTCTTAACTGGATTTTCACACTCCGTTCAAGTTAAATATGGCCATAATCACCATCACTCAAATTATCACTATTTTTACACAACACATGGTACAAATCATTTATCACATGGGGCCTCTTTACATTTTCACAACCATTTTCTACATATGAATGTTCACTATGCAAACAGTAACGGCCACCATCACCACTTTCACTTAAATTTCAAATGGAATCCGTTACCGCACATCAAGTACAACATTGTTAGTTCTTTTCAGTAAGTATTTTGAAAATTATTATGTCATAAGCTTATAACGCTTTATTTTTTACTTTTATTTGGGGGAATTTGATGAAATTTACCCAGAACTTTTTTATTTTGTTGGTAATTGGACCATACATTTGGCTTTATGTTATCCATAAATTGCTTTTCAATCGCCATAATTATATTGTTTTGCATTTCTATCAACCAGTAAGTCTGAAACTTACATAGAACTAAGTGGCTGTTTAGGACTTGTGTTCAGTTTATTGTAAAATTTCTTTTAATATTGTCTTGAAATGTTTTGGTATGTTCAATGTGAAATCACGTTAGTTAAATGTACCTTTTTTGCCACTGTTTAGAATAAATCTTATTCTCCTTTTACAAAAGCTGAACAGCTAGATATTCTTATTTTTTGCCAATTTTTCAGCCCACATCTTGGTGCAAGCTTGTTTATCAACGGACATAATGTAGCATCCTTAAACAGGCCAGCTGTCACAGCACCACATAACAACTTTCCAGGCATACCTCAGCCATTGTGTTTCGGACTTTGTGGCGCTAAACCAGGATCTGGGCCGTCAAACCTTACCGTTGGAAATATTGCTGTTGCAGGCGCTAATGTCGCGACAATGGCAAAGAACTTTCTTCTTGGTTTGCTAGGTATTTGCTATACCATATGATAATTTTCAAAAAAAATACCTTTTGTTTGAAATATATATGTAAACAAAGATGGACAAGCCAAAGCCTCCGAGACAGGACTGGAAAAGCACCAGGAGATTATTGCACAAAATGATAGGGCACAAAAAGTATATCATGAATCTGAAATTCATGATGTTAAGAAAAATATTAATTTCAAAGTGCTACTGTATCTAATAAGGGAAACATCAATAGACATTTTCGAAGATTTATTAAAAGAGTTAATAAGTAAATATGAAATTTCAGTAAGATACCCTTCTTTTCCAGGATTGCCAATGTTGAATCTTTTGACACCACAAGCAACAACTTCAACTCCTTTGAAGACCACTGTAGCCACAAAAGTATCTTCAACAACTTCCCATCATGGCGGTTTTACACTTGCACCCACATCAACTCCACCCGCCACAGCTACCGCAGGTTTACTTTATTTTTGTGATTTCTTTATTGTTTTTTTTATTTATTTAGATTTGATACTTTTTGTAAACAATTGAATGTATATGCATGAAAATTGTGAGAATTCGTGAACAATAGAAGCATCAAAAATGTAAAAAATATACAATGGAGATGCATATGTATTGCATTTGTTCATGTACATAAGTATACACATTTAGATCTATTATATGCCATAAACCGTTATACATGTAAGATTTAATAAAAGCTGTAGCAAACGTCCTTATTAGACGCCGCGTTCACGCAGCGTCTAGTAGATATTCATTTGTCTACTGAGCAATTGGGAAAATTTTAGACTTAATTTTGTGTATTTGATTTTATCAAAATCAAAATTGTTTTCAAATCTTCTAATAAAAATAGTTTTTCTGGTATACAACATGTCACCGAGCTTTAAGGAATTAAAAGGAACGCTTAATTGAAGTGATAGTTCCATGTTTAAATAACATATTTTCTTTTTATCATTATCTCATTTTATTTACCTAACAAATAACGTACCAATGAGCCATTCTATAGTCGATCGTTTTAAAACGGTTGAGAGAAGTAACAACTGAGGCAGTGTCACTCAATTCATTTGCTCCACCTCTGTTGAAAAACGGCTCCTCATTGAAGTGTCGCCAAATCTTATATGATGCTCTGTATGCTAGCATTAAGTCTTCGTTGACGCAGGGGGAGGGAACCAGGACAACTTTGATCAATATCACTTCCCTACAAAAGTACGACGAATCATTAAATTGCAAGTTACAAAGCCAAGACCACGCTTACTATCAGAGAGGCGGTTCTCTTTCAACCGCTTAGCTCAACCATTAATTTTAAGACATACCCGTCTAAAGTCTAATGACGGGAACCAAATTCGGGCAGGGATCGGGTGTATGACTAAAATATTCTACAGGCGCAACGGAATTATTTTTTTTTGCAACACTGGCAAAACGTGTGCAATTTCATAAACATAATTAACATTGAAGCTAAAATACAGATTAACTGAGTGAAAAAATACGTTTATTTTAAAATGTATCAAAGATATTTGCTGTAGGTTATTTTGAAGGATTTTATGACGATTGTTTTCTTTTTTATAAAATGTATTTGTTCTATACTTAGATTCCAGGCAAATATCAATCTTGTGTTTAATCAAGTAGTTTAATCTTTTATAAATAAGAAAATAATACTCGTTACTAAGAACCGTTTACATTTAACAATTTATTCATAACTATTATTTGATATTACAGACATATTTTTGCTATTTGTAAAATAAAGAACAGTTCGTCCTCAAAATCATTCGAACATTATGCAAATCGCACCAATATTTAAATGGACATATTCTCGGCGCAACGAAGATACTTTTCCTGAACCTTTGTCTTGAATTTATTTTATGTAAACCAATCATTATCAACTTTACTAGTTATCCATTTATTTTGCTTCGACCAGACCTTTCAATCTTTGTTGCAACAGACAAACATTTCAGACTTTCAGACCTGGAATTACTTTGTGAATTTATGCATTAGGTTCTACTTTTTCACCCAAATATGCAACTCAATTATTAAACAACGAGCACATACCAAAAACATGGAGACAAATATAGTAATGCTTCGGATATTCAACTGTAATAGAGAACGATTTTCAAGATTACCTGTGACTGTTCACATCATTGATGTGCAGCATCAACATTTAACTTGTATGTATCTGAGCTTTGTTTCCAAGAAATACGTACTTTTCAAGAACAGTTTACGGAAAGACACAGCCATATTATTTAGATATTAATGCAATTTGTTGATTAATCTGTTACATAATGTAATTACTGATACATACTTAAATCTATTACAGCTAAGACATTTACAGCAACAACGCCACCAGCTATCGGCCCATCATGTTATTCTTGTATAAACACCAAGTTGAACGGAGCATGTTTTACAACATCGCAGTGTTATGCCGGCGAGGTATGGGGATTTTATATCATAAACTGTTGTTGAGAGAGATAGATGAACTTTTATGTAACCTTGCGTTACACACGTTCAAACTTATAAGATAGATCTAAGATTTTGAGTATGAATCTATGTATTCTCTAACTTAATTCTAATTTATACAAATATGCTTTTTAAGTAAAATAGGACATATCAATGAAAGTAAATAAACAAATAAAAAACATATAAAATAATAAAAGAAATAAAAAAAACCCCAAAAAAGCAATTTTTCATATTAATTTTCTTTTGGCTCTTTCAGGTTTGTGCTGTGTTTGATACAAACAATGGGTTCATTCACAGATGCATGGGTAAACAGGTAATTGTAGTTTATCTTGCAAATAAAGAAATTTTTATTGAGACGGTTGACAGTACTTTCAAAAAAACTAATAGAACTATGCTAACATTTTTGATAAGGCAAAGAAATAAAACATTACAAGGCCCACAGTAATATTCTAAAGTGATATGTCTGGTATCTTAACTTAACCCCCCCCCCCCCAAAAAAAAAAACAAAAAAAAAAACAAAAAAACATTTTTTTTTATTAATGCTGTTGAATGCACAGAACAAGATCAAAATATGTTTACATTTTGCAATCAAGAATGGGGTTTTCTACTTCTTTTTTAAATATACTTTTCGTTTTGTTTTTTTTTTATATTCTAACCTAAACATTTTTCATTATCAATTATTGATCAATCACCATCATCTAATGGCAATCTCTCAACCTAATAGTGAAATAAATGAGCAAAGTGTCACTTTCAAATCAGATTTATTTCAATATGAAACAAATTCAGCATACAGTTTCCAGCAAAAATGTATTGAGAGCTGACATTTGAAAATCAATGGCCCGTTTTCAAAGTATGTCGCAAAATAGATGTATTCTAAAGTTTTCTTTATGTCTCGTGATAATGTTCATGTATATTCGTAGTACTGGGCGTTGGATTATTCCCAATAATCGTATTGTTTTAGTATATTAATTGAGGAATGTGCATTACAACTATTGTTACAGTCACTTCTTTTCGTTTGATAGCTATAATACATGGAATTTATGAATAGAAAATGTAAACCCTGTAGTATGCATGAAGCAAAATGTTTGGGCGTTCTTTAGGGATTTCGATTATTTCTCCATTGTATTAGGTTTAATTCTATTTGTATTCAAAACAAATTTCAACTGTCGATTACATATTACATAGATGGAGTTATTGTTTTTACCTGTTTGCCATATTTATCAAAATTCTGACTTCGTTTAATATATTAACGTGAGCTATACATTAAAGACTATCATAGCATATTATTTATAATTTTCTACTTTTGATACTGTTCCAGTTATGTGACTCTAATATGAAGAGCTCAAATGGCTGCTGGAATTGTTGCACCGGAAACCGATGTAACAAACAGTGTACTTCTGTCGCAAGTGAGTAGAAAAAAGTATCATGTCGTAAAAAAGTATTATTTATATAGTGAAAATAGTATCATATCATATGATTAAATGTTTCCTTCTGTTGACCGGACACATGTGTTACCTTAAGTTTTAAAAAAAGGACTTATGACACGTAATATGCTTATGATTTAAACAAAACGAAACAAAAAAGGTCTAAAACTGTAAAAAAGTCATTTATTAACTTCCATACAAAATTATTTATAAAAATATTTATATAGAAACAGTAGATGGGCTATCTTAAATTGTTGACGTTTTGGAAACGGTCAAAGAATACCAAAAGATAAAGTTTGAAAAAAAGAATGAACTAGCTACATTTTTAAAGCCTAATGAACCTTTTAACTGTATTTGACAATGTACTTGTTTTAATTACTATTACTGTAAATCTAAAAACTAAAAGAAATTCTTCTGCGTATGGGTAATGGTGGAAAAGAAAGCATGATTTCACCCATTTGTTCCGTTTTTGTATATTTACAGCATGTACAGACACACCCCAATGTGCTCGTCTCCGCCTCATAGGTTACAGTGTATGCAGTGACCCTGTTGTGTCGGTATTAAGTTGTTCAAAAACATGTTACAAATGTGCATCAAGCGGGTAGCTTCCTGGCTTTTTACACAATTACTGTCTCACTTAATGTTTTTTAAATGTTGCTTAAATTTGTTTCAAAAATGTTTTAAGAAATTAGAATAAAATATCATTCATGTACAAATCTTAGACTTGTTTCTTTAGCTTGTTCAATAATGAACGTTTATTGCTCCTCTAATCTATGTGCATGCGCGGAAAATGATGGCATGAAAACTTTGGCTGATATATAAAGGTTTTAATTGGATGACTTGTATTGTTATTTTCCAAAAAAAAAAAAAATGGACATTAAAGTGAGAGTTGAATATTAAGTAGTACAGATAAACAACAACATCAATATCATTAAAAAAAACAATTACAACATCCAAAAAAAATAAAAATAAAATAAAATAAATAAAATATACACCAACAAAAAGACAGATATCTATATGTAAATCAAAATCGCGATTGTGTCACCAGGTGATCAAATTACGCATCTACAACACATTACAGCGCCCGAATCGTTTTTAAGTGTGTTTAGTAAACAAAGGTCCGACATGAAACTTAAGGTTCTGTTTGTTATGGGATTTGATTAATCAATGAAAGAATAAAATGAAATCGAATGAGAATATTTAGTTTAATATTTAGCTCTCAATTTATCTAAATTCAATAACGTATCTAATCAAACTATCTGCACTGTAATTTAAGATGTCACAGCTAAAATGGAACATTACATTAGATCGTTGCACACTTGGTTCAAGCGGACGTAATGCTTGCAAACTGAACAAATCCCGACAGACTCGTCATAAAAATTTATAGTGTCCGCCAGTAGTTTGTCCTGTAAGTGTGTTTGTATGTTAGTTTGTAAAAGGATATTTGAAAAGCACCAGATTTGACGATGTTGTTGAAGATATAAAGAGGTCAGATACATACTTATAATTTGATACGTGACTCTTTTGGTCTATAGATTCTAACCTTTAAGTTCAAACAAGACAACATATATTTTGTTTGTCCAAAATAAAAGTTAAGTGCGCAAAAAATATGTCTATTTTGGTTGCAATTTTGCGCGTTGAAAACTAATGATGCACCAACAACATGTGCTATTTTAAGTGGACCCTCTTTCATGAAATAGTAATTCGTACAAATAAGGTAGTTGATTAAGATGATAAGCAAGAGTACAATAACAATAATTAGATATTACAACACTTTTAAATCAACTTCTTGTGAAAATATTTAGAAGTTAAGATATTTTAAGGAATTGAAAAATGAATTTCCATGAAATGTTACAAAAGACGTTTTGTATCCGTTAATTTCAATTGTTCTCAATTCAATTAAAAAGTAATTATTGACAAGATTCAATTAAAGTATACATAAAAAATAAAATAAAATAACAAAAATAAGAATCCATTTGAACAAACATAGCTATATATATATATATGTGTGTGTGTGTGTGTTTGTTTCATTAGTATGTCAAGCGTTGGTAAATATTGAATGAATATCAGGTGCACCATTTTCAAATGTTACGCAACAAAAAATGTAATACCTAAACAACAACTGTCTTTTGAAACAAACCAAATACATGATGGCTGTTTGACACATTTTACTGTTTTCCACGAGAAGCATCAGAAGCTCTTGTACCTTACGCGACAACATCCTGATATGCAATAGCATCAATTGAGATTTAATATTTTCTTATAATATTATTTGCATTTGAATAAACATAACATGTGAAACATTTATATGGTGGAACTTTCATCTTTTACAATATTACAGTGATGACCCGTTTTTTATTTTAGAAGTATCTGTTAATTTCATTTTTTGATATGTTATTCTTCCTCAAGCATTTTTATTTAAGTTATTTGATAACTTCACAGTGGAATTATTAAATTTATTTCCATGCTGTTTTTGACAAGTGACCTGAAAATCATACAATTAATTTTAGAGAAGTATACGCGTGAAAAAGGAAAAAAAAGCAATTTCACAATATGTGCCCTTATTTTATCAAACTGTTATTCCTAAAATGATAAAGAAAAAGATGCATTTGTCTAAAAACAAACATCTTTTAGTAGACATAATAACATTAACTTTGGCACAAAGAAAATGCATACACAAGTAATGGCAATTATATATCAGACAACTTTCAAATGTACCATATTAACAAAATATGCTCTGTATGACGTCCACAGGTAAAAGTCCAGAAGATTGAGATCGGGGTAGTGTGGTGGTTAATCATTTGCAATGTTGTGTAAGAACGCGTACATAATACGTACAATACTAGTCATGGTTTACAAAAACTCGAATAGAATTTTCGTAAATATGCGGTCTGACTACTGAAACGCTACCAATATATTAAGAAGAGACGGCAGTAAATCTCAATCTTTTTTATGTAATACCTTTTTCGTCTAAAAGGATGGTAAAGTGTCATTAGTTTAAATGAACCTACAATAGATAAGACTAAAGAAGAAGAGATAAGGTGAGTATCGACATCAAGTTCACATGATCTATTTTAATAGGCCAAGATGGACCTTCATCTGTATACGTGTTTCTTTTTTATATTTGTTATAGCAGATGTCAATGGTAAGAGTCACTTTTTATAAGTTTCATTGATAATATTTCCTCAAACAAAGAAAAGACGCATCAACATCATTTCAAACGATACAGTTTCATAGATTTTTTTTTCGTTTTTTTTACGACTATGTAATGTTAAAATTTGCACATTTGTCGCTTGTTTTTGTATTCTATATGTATTCGCAACGTATCAAAACAATCCAAAAAGAAAGGGAAAATATATAATACGCACGTTAGAATTTTAGAGACCTACAATACGTTGTATCCCTTCTATATTTTTGCAACATGATTCAGGTTTTGACCCCTGTGTTTTCTGCATTTTTCTTTTTCAAAACTCGATATTTGCCATGCCATATACATGTACGTTTTACGTTTACCAAATTAGATATTTTCAACGAACTTATCCGTCTGTCGATAACACTCAACGGAACAGAAACGATAATCATTACCTGTATCGGTTGCATGAACACAACCAATTTCCGCCAAAAAGGTTAAGGGATAATAACCAGTAGTAACAAAGAAATACTTATTTGAACCTTAAGATAAGATTTAAAATGCAAGAACGTCGTACATTCAGTTCATCATTTTGTATGAGAATTTCATCAATTTATGATATACTAGTAATTTTGAATTTTTTAAGCAGTTGTTTATCTTGTTTTTTGTGTGTCACTGTTTTTTTAACGGACAAAATATGCCAAGTAATCATCTTATTTTTATTAACAGATATTCATTGATGAAACATGCAATAATAACTAGCAGTAGAAGTAGTAGAAGTAGCAGAACCAGCAGTAGCAACAGTAGCAGTAGCAGTAGCAGTAGTAGTATCAGTAGCAGTAGCAGCAGCAGCAGCAGCAGTAGTAGTAGTAGTAGTTGTAGTAGTACTTAGTAGTAGTACTTAGTAGTAGACTTAGTAGTACTCAAAAGTAACATTTAGTAGTAGTTTTTAGTTGTCCTTAGAAGTACTCAGTAGTAGTAGTAGTGAAACTTAGTTGTGGTAGCAGAAGTATTAGAAGCAGCAACAGAAGCAGTAACAGCAATATCAGAAGGAGAAGTAGAAGTAGCAATAGAATTAGTAATAAACTAAAAAGACTAATAAAGGACATCCGATTTAATAAATTTCCTTTTTGAAGCGGGACAATGTCACCACAAGTTACGACGTTTGACATTCACAATGTCAGAACACAACGACAAGTTGACATTGACTCTCCCACAACCCATCATGGTTGAAAGGATAAAAATTCGTCTGTGCGACCATGAACGACCATTGGCCCACGAGAAATTCAATGTTACATTTCTAGACGCGTCGGATTTTACACACCAAGAACGTATTTACTCTCAGGTATTTTCATATAAGTATTTTTTTAATGCATGGGTACCGTATTTTATGCAATATAGAAAAAAACAACACATTGTTTGGTTAGATTTACTTAAACATGATATGATTCCTGAAAAAACTGGTTTAAGCAGGGCTGCAGATTATCACCAAACCAAATAAAATACAGTTTCATTCTTAAGCTCAGATTTTTACTTATTTTAAAATGACTATATAAAAAATAATGCAATGGCACGAAGTTTAATATATATTACTGAAATAAAATTGTAATAAGGTTGTAGTAGAAAACGAAAGTATGACCAACTCGGAATTTACATGTAGGACACTCTGCTATTAAAAAGCAATTTTCAAATCGAATTAAATGTTCCGATGTTTGTGTCAATGGTAAGACGAGTCGAAAATAAGGCAATCCTGTTTATCTACAATTTAAACAACGAGTTTCAGTTCCAATTGTTTATTTTGTTTTTTAATTGATGCCACTTAGTATCCAGTCAGCATTTACTTAAACCACTTGGCTTTTTGTTATTATGTTGATGAGTCCAAATTTTAAAACTGTTTTGATTAGAATTCTGTGATAACTTTTAAATAACGTGAAAAAAAATGTCCGATTTATTTGTTGATGATATCTGCATATCTTTGGTGAGCATGATATTCCTTTTTGAAAAGTCAATTACATGTATGTGTTTTTGTTAATTTGAAACCAGACCAATCAGTTCATATTTAAAAGTGTTGTTATTTTTCAGGCTAATGTTAATAAAAATGGAAACACCGAAAACTCATTTCATTTCTGATAAAATGAATATACCTATATTTCAATTTCAATTATTCATTTCTTCTACATTTGTTTTCATTTCTGTAGGAACTGCTTGGAGAATTTGCGGATGCATCAAACTTCATGGTATTGTTTGAACCTGCCATGTACACGAAAACAGTACACACCAACAAATGGCATGCCTTGAAATGTTCAACATTGCATGTCCTGGGATGCACTCCAAACGGTAAGATTGCTGGATGATGCCGTTGGTAAAATTCATTGTCTTTATTATAAACGACAAAATAAAGGTTTTCTTTTTTCTACTTGATTGTTATTTCGCAAAGCACTATTGCAATCTTTGAATGAATTTCGGTAATTGGCTTAAAGCAAATGCAAAAGTCATCATGCTTCGTCCGTGTTTATTATATGCAAGCAATAAAGAAGACATTTAAATACATTGGTAATATTAAAATAGATAAATTTACCATTATTTAAAATAAAGATATTTAAGCAAAATGAAGACTGTCGATATTTTGAACTGTTTCAGACATGTTTAACCAAAGCTTTTGCCAAAATGGCGGAAAAGTGGTCGGAGATCATTATTGCACATGCCCGACCGGATTTATGGGAGCAACTTGCGAACGTCTTGGTAATTTGATAATTTTTAACATATTTACTCCATGAACTTTTATGATATTATGTTGAAAGAGAAAGGGGACTGTTTTAATGATTACATCACAAACAAAAAGGTGAGAAGTAACAGAATATTTAAGGCACTTACGACAATAACTAAATTAAAACTTTCATCATTCTTTGCCGAATATTGATCCGTAAAATAGTACATGTAATGACAATTAATTTAGAAGTACTTATTTACCCATTACTGCATTAGCATTTTGTGGAAAATGGCTGTTTTCATTTAAAAGCCTCCTGTTACAAGTTCAGACTGTTATGAAACTATATACGATATTTCAATATTCACCAAACTTAACACAAATGTTGACTGCATCATAACCTTTGTAACGGCATGCTCAATCTTTAATTTCCTGTTACCATGGCAACGAGCGGACATTTCAAAATTGCCAAAAATAACTTTTTTGAGTTTTTATTTATTCGAACTGATTTCGAAGTGCTGCAACTTCTCAATGGATTGAGATAGAGACAAAGGCTTTTTAGCGTTGGTTACACGTTATCTTCTGATCAAACTGAGGCCAATTTAAGCCTCACATTAGTCAAAAATCTTCTTGGCAACCCTCTGGCATCACTTTCTAACATTTCCCAAACGAAAACATGTGTTTGGGGCCCAAACAGGATTTCTGGCATCCCTTTCTAACATTGCCCAAACAGGACATTTTTTCACTATTTGAGGCATAAAGTTTGGGGGGGGGGGGGGGGGAGAGGGGCAAAAGTGTATATGAGGTAAAGGGTTAATAATCTATAAATTTAAACCATTCAAACATAATCTTCATTCAAATGTGTAAAAACAGCATTCAAAAAATAAAAGTTTCAATGATTTATCACGTTCATATAGACATCATCTATTCAGTTAATTAATATTTTGAATTTATAACCGGAATCTTATTTTGTTGATTTTTAGTAATGACACTGCAAAGATAGTTCCTTTCAGATGTGAGTGAATTAATTCGCTTGATAAATATTAACATATACTAGTAGTTATTCTATCCATGACCACTTTGTGAAAAAATGGCAGAATTTCAGATGTTAAGCTGAAACATCTCAATGGAATGAAAACAAAAATAGTTATTTATATGGACATTTATGTTGACTTACTTAGACATGAAAATAAAAATTTTCATCACTTGATTTCAGTACAAGAAATTGTCGTTGATGATTTTGATTTTGTCGCCAATATCTCCGATACCGTATTTACAAAAGACGCCGCATTCAATATGAGTGGTGATGTCTCCTTTACGTTTGATGATCAAACTCAGCAGAGCAGTGCTCGACGAAACACACACTTGCACAGGCACCATCTTCACCACGGCTTTGCACATTTTACAGGTCATGGCGGAAGTCTCCATTATACAGTGACTAAAACGGCTGGTTTCCTGCACAGTAATCATCAAACAGCTGGGCACCATCCGTCACATAACATCTACTCGGGCCTTAATAATTTCGTTGCTGGTTTTTCGCACACATTTCAAATTAAATTTGGACATCACCATCACCACCTTAACAGACACTATTTCTACACAACCCATGGGATAAACCATTTTTCACACGGCGCTTCTTTGCATATTCTTAACAATGTTTTGCACATGCACGTGCACTATGCAAACATCAACGGCCACCATCATCACTTTCACTTACATTTCAAATGGAATCCGTTACCAAACATCAACTACAAGGTCGTCAGTTCTTTCAAGTAAGTATTGTGGACTTCAAATAACATATTGAATTACGTACAACACTGCCTGAAGAATATCGATATTTTTAATATGAAACAACACAACTCAAACGTACTTTAATGTGCTACTGTTTAATATTTGTAAGATGTTTCATTTTCATGTACTTAACGACCAATATATACATTTTTTTACATTTCAAGTAAACACTTTGGTGCAACGTTGTACATCAATGGAAATTATGTTGCTTCCCTTACTAAGCCTGCTGTGACACCACCACATAACAATTTCCCAGGGATACCAAAGCCTTTGTGTGTTGGATTATGTGGTGCTAAACCAGGGTCTGGACCATACAACCTTACCATGCAAAATATCCTTGTGGCTGGAGCTAACGTAGCGAATCTGGCAAAGAACAATCTCCTTGGTTTATTAGGTATTTAAAACTTTTTTTGAAGTCCTTGTGCAAAGAGAAAACACACCTTACGTCAGCATTTCTTTTGTGCCAACATTTAGTTATCGTTTCTTTTATTTTGAAGGTTACATTTCTTTGCAAATGGTTATCATATCTGCCAAAATTGGTAGTTAAGGAACGCATTATTTGACATTGATATTACTATGAGTGTTAGCAAGGTTAAAATTTGACAAGGCATGATACTTCTTTTTTTCGGTTTACCAATGTTGAATATATCAACACCACATATGCATCTTAATACAGGAACACAGCAAACGAATTCGATACCTTTGAAGACCACCGTGGTAACAAAAGGACCTGCAACAACTTCTCAGCAGAGTGGATTTACTTTTACACCAACTTCAACTCCACCAGCAACCGCGACATCAGGTTCAAGTCATTATTTTATTACACTTTTATGTTTTATGTTGTACGACATACATGTAGTCTTTGTTGACATCAGATGATAACAATCCGTGATGTTGCTTGGCTACATCACATTTGGGTCCGCTGACATTAATAAACGAACAACACGGGCATACATGGTGCCTGGATTAACAATAAGTCAAATCAAGATGAAGACAATAATTCTAAAGTAAGCAAACTGATCTTAACAAGCATTCCACCAGTTATTATATATACACGACATCTCATCTTCCATAAAAATAAAAATAAAATAATTTCTATGCTATTCAAATCTATGTTAAAGTCATGTATGTAAAAATCCTCAAGACTATAAGTTATAAGTAACTGTTATAAAATAAGAGATGTTTCTGTCTTAAAAATTGGTTGAAATCTCTTCTCTTGTGTAACGATTATTATCAATTTAACGTGTTTCATGTGTAAAATGCTGCAGAATATTAAAAGTAAACGACACTCTACCCATGCAGGTCTCTTTGTAATATATACGAATTCATTAAGTAATCAATACATGTTTTGCTTAGGTTATTCGCATTAATTGTGTTGTAACTGAAAGAAAAAATTGCAATAAAATCTGCATCTCTTAAATAACTACTATGCGATGCCTTTAAGGTTCTTTGCTTTCCAACGTGGGATCAATTACGTCCCAATCATTTTGTAAGAATATAGCATTGTAAAATATATTTAAGGGAACTGTCCAGTCTTACATACAATATGACTTTCAAATTTAAATCACGATCATGGTTAAATTGCCACAATAAATCATCCGAACTTACATTATTCAATGCCCTGATAACGGAGAACTATTCGGATATTCTTATTTTATTACAGCTCATACATACACAGTAACATCACCACCAGCAAGCACTCTACTGTGTTATACCTGTACAAACTTGAACGGAAGTTGTACGATGACATCTCAATGTTTTGTTGGCGAGGTATAGGATCTGTTATTGAATTGTATGGTACTTTTTAAATTTATCATGGAAAAAATGTGTGCCGATATAAATTGACCTTTTTTCTGTACAAACACATTTCGAGTATCTTCTCTTCCATTTTAAACTCTTATTCTTTAAAATAATTTGTCTTTCTCATGCAACAGAAGTATATGATAAATAAATTAGAATAATATATCGCTTGGGTTCAAACCCTGTCAGCGGCAAGCCATTGTTTACATGCATTGCTTAGTACCGGTTGGTTCCAGGAATGGATTCGAGAGTGTTTCAATAAACTAATAGCTTCCATACAAAATCGAACTAAAATAAATTTAAATTTGTATGTAATACTTACATAAACTTTCTGTGACTATTATCAGGTTTGTGCTGTATTTCACACAATCAGTGGGTACACCCATAGATGCATGGGCCAAAAGGTAAATGAGCCGCGTCATGACAAAACCAACATAGTCCGTTTGCGACCAGCATGTATCCAGACCAGCCAGAGCATCAGCGCAGTCTGATCAGGATCCATGGTGTTCGCTAACCAACCCTATCACAAGTAGAGAAACTGATTCGCTGGTCGCAAATCCATTATGTTGATTTTGTCGTGACCCGGCTCAAATGTTTTTTTTTTTTACATGATTAAAAATATTTGAAATAAACAGTTTGAAATAACTGACGCGCATGACTTAGAATATCTAAACATCTATTTTATTCCAGAGGCCAATATTAAAAACTTATTACGGTACATGTAGCAGCTAATCTGTTATTTCTTGTTAAGGTTTCTAGTGGAATTGACCCGTATTATAATAAATAGTCCATGTAGATAAAATGAAATAATGCGAACTGTTAAAAAATAATGTCACTTATACATAAAAACGAAATATGCAGTCAAAATGTCAGAAAGTATGTGCAGTTTCAAAAACAGTTTTGATACTATATAATTAACCCTTTAATATTGAATATTGAACGTAAACAGAATGAAATGTTCCTGAAAAATGTTAAGCCACTAATTGTAGTAATTTGTTAACTGTTTAGCATTGAGCATGTGCATGCGCTATTCGAACAAAAGTCAATATATTCGGCGTGTCCATGTCTAAAATCCTAACTGGGGTCCCTTTAAAGGCTTAAAAAGATAAGTATTTATTTTAAAGTATACTGAGAAGCAATGCAATTCAAAAGTTTGGTTTGACATTTTCAATGAACGTTAATTTCTTTTGACAGTCTTTCTTAATTCCATAATGACCATTTCAGTTATGTGAAGCTAATAAGAAGACAGCTACTGGTTGTTGGAATTGTTGTACAGGAAATTTGTGTAATAAACAGTGTGTTTCTGTAGCTGGTGAGTAATATATTGTGCATTCCTGTTGCGTGGTATGGAATATAGCACCAATTATTGTGTTAGTGTCAGAAAAATATCATGTTTAAATAATCAAATGCTTTGATTCTTTCAATTATAATGACTTTTTGTTGGCTTCCTTTATCTAATCTTTACTCTCATAATATATATAATATAATAAAAACAAAAACGCATGATTAAGATACAAAGGTTGATACTTTTATTTCCTCCAAATATTTGAAAAGCTGATCAAATAATAACAATTATATACAATATAGCATTCTACCCTTCTTAATAAGCCGTCTTGTATTTACAGCATGTGCAGACACTCCCCAATGTGCAAGTCTTCAGTCAATCGGATATAACGTTTGCAATGACCCTGCTGTGTCAGCAACAGCTTGTCCAAAAACATGCAACAAGTGTCCTGCTAGTGGATAGCCATGTTATTATTGCCACTGTGTTCCGTGTGTCTGTTAAAATATTGTTGGAAAATATATCAAGTTCATACCAGAATTATTCATTGCTGTTCTTTTTAAAATCCTAACTGTTTTCCCATAGTACATGTATTAACAAATCTAATGGAGTATGGTGCCATGTAAACATTTGCAGATATGCCGTTTTTGGTATGCCGCAAGTATCAAGCAGTTTTAACTATACTTGGAATCTGGCAAGTTTTTGCGAAGCTGAAATTCCGTAAACTAACATATGAATGTTTAAAATTCAAAGTAGGTACATTACATAAAGTCAGCTAGGAAAGGATGATAAAAAATCTTAGTTGTTCAAAGAACATATTCTCGTTACTCCTGATATCTTGTTACTTCTAATATCTCGTTACTTCTGATATCATATTTGATTACGAAGAGCTCTTTACTTTAATATTCACTCATTATTACTTTCCATTTTGAATATAAATGTTCGGTTGACATTTTCCATAGTTTGTGCAGTAGAGGCCATCCTCGTTTCTGTGTGCTTAAGATGTAATCATTTCCCGGCTGCTGTGCGTATGTATGCGCTCCATAAACAAGGGACTGGCAAAGTCGAGCACATATTAGGATTTTTAAAGCTTCAAACTCATCACTGTTAAGACTACACGTCTTGTAATATCCTGAAAGAAAATGGCCGCCTACGTCTGCTTGGCTTTCATCCGGGCACTCAATACTTATGTAAGCAATGCAGATAGCAATATCAAACACAATGTAAGAGTAAGATATGAAACAGAAATCAATCACAGCAGATACATCATGGATGCGTTGGTCTGTTGGTATGTCGTGTTGTCCAGGGACTTCGTTTACAATAATGTTCTGTTCATTCAGGTCTCCGTGAATTACACCTAGCACAAAAAACGACAGCATTAGAATAGGGCTTTAACATACATATTAAGTGACATTTACCCATTTTTTCAACTGTCAAGACGGGCTGAATAAGTTGACACGTTGCAAAACATTTGTCTATAATCATATAATGATTGACCAATAATTGTTGGTGAAAAAAATTTTAAAGATGAAATTTTAAAGACCAAGGGAAATGGTTCATATCAGATTTTTAAAGGTCAATTATGCAATGTATAGAAAGTTTTGTGGGTGACTTGGATTATTTATCATTTTTGCATCGTTAAGTATAAAGTTGAACACAATTATGATAAAAATATAAAATAATTTAGACTTTTAATTGCACACTCATTATTTACATTTTAATAGCCATAATGTCACTTTGAATTATGAAAACTGTTATTAACTACAACAAAAAAAGAAAAAAAAGAAAAAAGAAAATCATTCATATTTTACATACATATCTGTTTTTTTTCACTATCTGAGTTTGCCGAAGTTCAGAACACGAGAGCTTAAATGAGCGAATACATTTAGACAAATAATTATTTTTGGTGCATGTTGCAAGCAGTTACTGGTTTGACATATGAATTAATCATCTTTAGCTTCTTGTGAAACTTGTCATTTAGTAGACTAAATATTTTGTATGCAAGTCAGTAAAAATACCACAGTGTTCACATTTCACTAGCTATTTCTCAAAATATTTCACAATAACCGCTTTTTCTTCAAGTTATGAACATTAATATCCTATAACTTCATTATAAAAAGTATAAAACACATAATTGCCTCTTTCTAAAAAATAACTAGAACTATCACTAAATGTGATTAATACCCCCGCAAGACTGCTTCAGAGAGGAGGAAGTTACCAGTAACATATTACCTCGCAAAGGAATTGAAATAGAGTTATGGTTGTGGGCAATTAAAGATAATTGTGGTTCTTGTATGTTGCATTTCCTTTCAATGTGGTTGACCATTGATGAAGTTTTTATTAAATTACTCTGTAACAAGTCAAGAAAAAGGTACGCTTCTTGAGCACTGCACTTCCTCTAATTACGCTTGAACATTGTATGAAGTTGCATTGAATTCTAAACATTAGTTTTTAAGTTATGCAACGGACAAGAAAAAGGAACAAATGGCAATAACGGTAATTAGTCCAAAAAGAGTTATGATTCTTGTGCACTGCACTTCATCTCACTGCCCTAGACCATTGTATGAAGTTTCTTTGAATTTCAACCATTAATTTTCAAGTTATGCACTGGACAATAAAAAGTAACAAAGGGCAAAAACACTTAAATGAGTCAAGAAAGAGATATGGTTTCTTTGCACTATGCTTTCTCTCAATATACTTTACTGAAGATGGAGATATGGTTATTGAACACTGCACTTCCTCTTATTAGTCTTGACCATTGTATGAAGTTGTATTGAATTCAAACTACCAGTTTGCAAGTTATGCACTGGACAAAAAGTAACAAAGGGCAATAACGGTAATAAGTCAAAATAGAGTTATGGTTCTTGTGCACTGCACTTCATCTCACTGCCCTAGACCATTGTATGAAGTTTCTTTGAATTCAAACCTTTAATTTTCAAGTTATGAACTGGACAATAAAAAGTAACAAAAGGCAAAAACTCTTAAAAGAGTCAAGAAAGAGTTATGGTTTCTGTGCACTACGCTTTCTCTAAATATACTTTACCATTGTATGAAATTGTATTGAATTTCATTTAGTTGTTTCCAAGTTATGCTCTGGACAAGAAAAAAAAACAATGGAAAAGCAACAAAGGCAATAACTCTATAATTTCTCTAGACAGAGTTATGGTCCTTGTACACTGCACTTTCTCTTAATGTGATTGACGACTGTATGAAGTTGTATTGAATTCCAACTAGTAGTTTTCAGGTTATGCTCCGGACAAGGAAGAGTAACAAAGGGCAACAACTCTGTAATAAGTCAAGATGGAGTTATGGTTCTTATGCACTGCACTTTCTCTCAATGTGCTTGACCATTGTATGAAGTTATATTGAATTCCAACCATTAGTCATCAAGTTGTGGTCCGACAAAAGAAAGCAATGGAAAAGTAACAAAGAGCAATAACTCTGTAATAACTTAAGATAGAGTTATGGTTCTTGTGCACTGCACTTTCCCTTATTATGCTTGACCATTGTATGAAGTTGTTTTGAATTCCAACCACTAGTTTTCAAGTTATGCTCCGGACAAGGAAATTGCAATGGACCGCTGGACTGACTGACCGACCGACCGACCACCGAGTGACTCTTATATACCTACCCCGCCCCCACGCGACCTTCTATTCGGGTGTATAAAAAGACAATGAAGTCATTTCTAGGGCATAGTTAAACACACAATGTATTAATAAATAATCATCAAACCTTTGGTAAATGTGTCATATTTTGGTAACACATACTGTTCAAATGCCTCAACCACTTCTTTGATAACTGTAATGTCGGCTTCACAAGGTAATACATCTTGGAATTGTTTTAGGGAGGGTGTTTGGTGGAGACTCCATATGTTTGTGTGATTGTCCGAGAAGTTGTGATTGAATCCCTAATAATTCATGCAACAAAAGAATTAATATTCAATTCCATGTATATCAAAGTTTTCAAAGAAATCTAATGGAAAGTAAAATTCGTCAAACTTATCAAAACGATAGATATTACATGTATTTGGAAAAAAGGTTTAGTAATGAGTATAAACAGATTTGAAGTAGTGGGGTTTACTGTTAAATGCAACCTAGAGGTAAAACACTTGGTTAACTTAAAGATATATATACTATCCATTGATATTCGGTTACTTATCTTTTGTCAACGAGCGTAAGGGATATTGGACACTTCATTAGTTGATGTGATAATAGCAAATCAATCTTTTACTATTCATTCGTTATGTTTAGGTTAAATGAAACACTTGTATATTTGGAGATCAAAACTTCCTACCTGTTTGTTATATAATCCATTGTTTTGAGTTAACAGTCATAACTTTACAGTATAATTGGTATAATTAAATTTTTTTTTTCTTTCTGTCTTTTGCGTTTGTGTTTCGTTTTGTTAAAACATGTATGAATTATTCAAAACAACCATCTATACCTTCATTTTTGTGTGCAGTCTTCCAACAAACCTTCCAATGTTGAAGAAGGAGCCGGGTACATAGGGTGAGTCTACAAACACTTTACCAGGTACAAACGTCAATAACCGTGTCAGATAAGGACCAGTCTTTATGTATTTACCTGCAAAAAAGGTATCGAAAAGAAAACATCATTTATCATTTTATTTTATCATGATCGATGGTATTCCTGTTGGTCTTATATTTCTATTTATAATTTTCCGACCTTGATCTTATAAATTAATTTTGCCTCAATGGTTTTGGCTCAACATATTACATTGAGAACATTTACTAGAATTCAATCAAGCACTCGCTAGACTAAACTTGATAGATAAATAGCTTTTATTTCAGACTTTGCAAAGCCAGGCAATGCGGGGCTTAACGATACGATGTGCTCTCCGTATAGAAAAGATCTGCCTAGCATAATTTAATTTGAACGTCATAAAATTGTCAATTCGAATTCACTTTATCGAGATTTCAACTAAATGAAACGAATTCATGATTTAAGCTTCATGAATTTACAATTTTAACTTCACATGGTCAATTTCATAATTAAAGGATCTCAACGTCACGAATTAATGATTGTGAAGTCATGAAGTTGAAATCGTTAGGTCATGAAGTCTATATATTGTAAATTTATTAAAACTAAATAGTGAATTCTTGAATTTATAAGATAGTAACAGATATTATAAAGCTTTATAAGATCTTAACTAGATGGATATCCCATCTGCTCAGATAACAAAAAGTTGCGAGAATGTGCAAATAAATTTTACAGCTGCTCGATAGGTGTAAAAAAATGCTGAATCGTGTTTGGCGAGTGGTCACATGTTACATCTCATGAGACTGACGGTAAGATAAACACCAATGTTTGATCGATGAAAATTATGATAGGCCACAAGTCCATATCGTACATCAAAACAAACGCATCATGTAAGAATACATTCAGATTGCAAAATATCATCTTGGCTATAGTTCCTGTATCAGTGTTCAAGAGCGTCACTAGAATCAGTTGTTGAGTCCTTCTATGTACCGGTGTGAGTGGAATCATGCTGCCTGCTTGCAATATGTAAGCCAATAAATCAGCCGCGTTTTTATTTACCTTAGCGGTCACAGCAATTTTCGAACTTGACCACATCTTACGTACACTCATTCTTCATACATAAAGAACTTCATGAATGATGGTCGCATTAAATCTCTTTTCCCGGTGCTTTAATACGACTACCCACAGAAACCTCCAAAATTCACTATACACATTGAAAACTGCATCCGAGTAAAAGGAAATACTTTAAGGGGTTGTAAACAGAATAAATCCAACCACCAATGCAGGGCCACATTGATTATATTTTACACATGCCCTTTGTATATCTTAAACTTCATGACCGTTTTTAGGTTCATACGCAAGTTTTTATAAGTTCTTATTCCCTCTCAAAATTATATAATAAAATATTTCTAATAATTGTTTTTACGTTTAGGACACACGCATTATTTAACTTTTGAACCATATACCGCTGTTTATGAGAGGACATGAAAGTGCCACACTGAAAGCTCCACCATCAACGTCGTATTGATACATTTGCGAATGGTAGATGATCGACTTTAAAATATCATCGCAATTTCTTTTGTGAAGTTGTTTAAATTTAACTCATCATAACAATTTTATGTGTATTTTTTACAGTTAAAATTCTTTTTAAAATGTGATAAACCTTAAAAACATTAGTTGCTGAATACGAAAAAAATGAAAATGTTGCCAGTTTGGTTTGGAAAAGGTTAGATTTGTGATTACGACAGTCGAAGTTTAGTTAAAAGTCCATAAAATATTGGCTTTTATATACTTTACTATATGAATAGAGTTTAACATTCATAAAATAATCTACCTTATACAAGTTTGATAGAAAGTTAAACGTGCATAATGTTAACCGAGGTAATATATACTACGCTCTGTCAGTTGTTAGTACATCAGATAAAACTGTTTTATGTAGTGTGATGGATATTTATATTCCGAAGATGTACTTTTTCAACTACGTTTTTAGCAAAAGATCCTGTATGTTTTGTGATTGCTATTGTTACTGTGTGTATACCATACTTGCAAAAAATTACATATATATATATTTATGCAAATAAAACAATTTTCAAACATCGAAGAATATGTAAAATGTGTACTGCAAATATTTGTGCACATTATGTTTATTATAATAATCAATAAATGACATGCATTCATTTCTTATTGGAAAATTTGACTTATAATTTATAGAAAATAAATTTCTAATTACCTCCCTTTATTTACATGAAATGTTAAATTGGGTAATATCTTTATAAATAATGCTTATTGTAACTTACAATATTGACAAATCTTAATTTGAGCATCATATTAATGAAATAAAACCATGAAAAAATTGTGTTACAGGATCTTTAATGTCTATCGTTTATACACAATTACTACAGTCTTCCCCCACCCCACCCATAAAAAATACATTATACATTTAATTATCATCTTATAAATAACCTGATTTTAGTTGGTTATTGTACATTTTTTATATTTTTAATAAGTGCGTCGCTTTTTGTTGTAAAGTCTTTTTCTTTGAATTTAGAAATTACCTTCAACGATATCTGTGAATGTTTCTAAACTCCACTCCTGTCCTTCTGTGTTAAGAATCGGTATTTGGGTTGGTATTCCATGTTCTCTTAAATACTTGCACAATGCATGTTGTGAACCTATGATACAGAGTTTGTTAGACAACATTCAGTAATTATGGGACATTGCAAAACAATTTGAGTTGTATTACCGGTAACAATTTTCACATACAGGAAAGAAAATGCAAAGCGAGCAATTTTCTATTGGATTCTTAACTATACAATGTATTATATATGATCATGAATGTAAGTAAAATGATAAGCTTTTGAACAGTTTTACACATAAAAAGGTAAATCAGATATCGAAAGCTATCGAAAGCAGTATTTGGTTTGAACATTAATTAACTTTTTATTATATATTTATTGGAGGAAAATTCTTTAAATAGCAATCAGAATTTACTGGTAACCTTCAATTTACAAAAATAGCGGGACAGTCTTTTTAATATTCTATTCTCTATTCTCTCTATTTACATTTAACCCTAATCGTTTTTCCAATATAAACGGTTGGTTAATCACAATTATAACAGTCAATCTTTTGAAGTATATAATTATGTTAATTCAGCTGAACATGAGCATAATGTCACAAAGGGACACATTTTAATAATGCAATAGAACTCGATAAAAAATGTTGTAGATAATGTTGCACTTGCTCTAGAAATACACATTCATGCAAAGAAATATAAAAGTTTTTAAAATCAGTCCAGATAGATTATGTGATTTCCGTTTTCCTAACCAAGATTATTTGAAATGATGAAATAATGAAGTTTATCATCAATTGGATGTCGGCCCGGCCTGGCGGATGGCCATTCCTATATTACCCTTCCAATTTTTGCTGCATGGGATGATAATAAAAAACGAGATTTTACCAATATTATCAGGCTGGAGAGACTCAGTCTTGTTGAGTATTTTCAAAACGTAGCCATCTTTGTTCACTTTTTGTACGTGTTTACCCTCATTATTGCTGCCTGCAGCTATGAAGAAGTTTTGATCGTAATAACTTGGGAGCTTCTTTATTTCTATCACCTACAATATTGATGCTAAAGGTATTATTTCTTGAACATGTATGTACAAAGACTAAGTTTTTGATAGATTGAAAACATGTTTATGCAAAATTTAAGAGCGTATTGAAAAACACTCTCATGTTGTTAGCCAAACTGCAATAGTTTGCTATTTTATCTAAATACTTTAAAAGTCACATCTCTATGCTGTACAGGACCTACAGTACTTGATTACGGTGTAGTTATGAGAGGTCAACAACCTAATGCCACGACTACAGATAACCCTAATAGTAATACAAGTACAAATGTTGCTGCAATGCAGCAATTGAGAAGCTCCGCGCAAAAAATGCACTCATTACAGATACCTTACCAAATTATTCCTACGCACAGGTCATGTTATATTCAGATTAAGTACTATTGTAGATTTTTTTCCGAATGTTTTGTAAACCATTTTTTGCATAATTATACTTATCTTATGCACTGTCCATAATTAAAGAGAGGGGAAAGATACATGTATTTAATATAAAAAAATGCTTTCACTGATGCCTACCTGGTAAGGAAAGTAATTCCATTGAATACAAACAAGACTTACAAGACTTGTAAATGTTATGTGACATGACTGTACTGTGTTCTGTTTGTGTCACTACTGTAGTCAGTAACATAAGATGATAAAAATATCAAAGTCTGTTTTTATTATTATTAGAATTGTAACAAATATACAAATAGTAACAAAAGGGACTAATGTTATAATATAGTAATATTACATGCATTTTTTCATGTCAAATTAAAAAAAAAAATGGTTTCTTTCAATACTGAAAGTCGAACACACTCTGGAATGAAAAATGGGATGAATTTCAAAAAGACCAAATCCAGGAATTTTTTGTTTGTTATACACGCGTTACATGGTGATACAGTATTTTTCAATATAATAGAAGACTGTTACCTGAATTTTAGGCAGGTATGAGGAAATTCACTAACATCATGTTCGTGCGAGTCAAATATATAAAAGCTATTTGACATTGGTGATATATATATAAAAAACTATTGTTAATTGATTTATTGGGAGATCAATATACTTTTTTGTTGAATTGCTTTAAAACCATTAATAAAAAACATTACACTTCTTGTTCAAACTGCATTAATGATGCCATCTATCTATGGCCTATGCCGGGCCTATCCGGGCCCATGGACAAAAAAAAAAATAGTAAACACAAATAGCTCCGCGCCTATGGGCGCGGAGCAATAAAATTATACACCAACTCGAGAAATGCTAACACATAGAAATAACAAGTTACCTTAAGTCCATAAAGTCGCTCCAAAAGTGTAGGAAGACATTTCTCAGAAACACGTGGTTTAACGTCGTCTTCTTGTCTACTTTTACTTGTATATAAATTGTTGCTGGTGATGTTTTCACTCATGTTTTGAATTTTATTTCTAAGAGCAAAAATAAATTCATAGCAAATACAGAATATTTCAATTTAGTTTTGTCTTACAAATTTCCATAACTTTCGAGTATTTCACAGAGTCAATCGCATTTTTCTTTACATGCACAATTAATGTATATTCCTGTATAAATACAATCGTATCCTCTTGTACTTTTAAAATTTAGGAAAGATTTCTGTAAACTATCTTAAAAAACGTTTCACTTATATATAATTTCTCCAACTATTTTTTTAAAGTATCTACACTATTTTCATTGTGTCCTTATAATTTTCAAATTATCCACACAGTTAACATTTTCTTTAAAATCAACTGAAGCAAAGCATGAAAATGTAATAATAAAGGTAATTTAATCTTATGCGAGATAAAATGTAACATTAGAATCTTATTTGCAGGGTTATATGAATTATAACAAATAATAACAAAATTTTATTTACACGCTTAAGTGATTTTATTTGTAATCCAATATAAATTTTGATGAAAAACAGATAATAACGCTATAATTAGCCATCTGAGAATGTAGCTGTGAATCTGACTAAATTTTATTATCTTAATTTAATTTATATTATTTAATTGTTGTAGTAACCAGTTGCTTGTTAGTCAATATTGAGATATTCTTTTGAAATAATTTGGTGGCGGCATAATTAACTACTAACCTACCATATATAGTCACCAAACTTTACAAATATGTTTGCTGGCATGTGAATTGTGCGCATGAGTTTTAATTTATACATACATATATAACTAACAGTGTCATAATCTTTGACGTAGCCAGTAGAAATTTGTTTGATTATTTATAATTTACATGTATTTTGAAGCACTGTTAGTCCTTTAGCACTGAGGAGGCATCTGTAGAAATTAGCAGGGATTATTGCTATGGCAAGATCATTGTCACGCCGTTATAAGTCCAAACGCCGCTATATGTCGTATCTATCGCTAAATGTCGAATCATTGCCGATAAATGTCGCAACCGCCACTAAGTGTCGCAAACTGTTCTATCATTTATTTACATGTCGTAATGGTAACGATTGATGCACAGTTTTCCCTTTCCTTTAAATGTCGCAAAACTACCGTTAAAAGTAGCAAGATGTTTATCGTTTATTTATGGTAAAATAATGTTTACTAGTGGTATTATATTGCAAAAAAAAACATCGAGTTAATATTTGTATATACATGTATTAAATAACTTTGAATTATTAGGGAATGTCCCGATCCATCTGCTTACTTGAGAATAAATATGGTTTTTATTTTTTTTTTAAATTAACATGTAACAGCGATTGATTAAAGTATAATATGCAACTACTAGGTGCAGATAACACTCATAAGCATAATTATTATTTTACGTACTTATACAAGGTAATATCTATACGTTTATGTCCATCTACTTAATCTTTCCCATATCCCAGTGAGTTCGAAACACGCCAGGAACCTGAAGTTATCAACATTGGTTGTTCTATACAGGTCCCTGTTTGTGCCTGAAATAAAGCACGGAGGTTTTCCTCTACCCACAAAATGGCACATTTTGGATTGTACTGTAAGTACTAAAAATCATTCTTCTATCTATTATTTTTTCACAGAAGTTTCTTTAATAATATTTTGAAAATAACTTGTCATGCACATTTAATCTTCGATGAGCTTATGTTTTCGACTGCATCTGGTAAATCATCCTGCTCTCAAGGTTATACAATTTTTGCACAAATTAAGTCTCAATTTGTAGGATTTTCATTGTCAGTGTACATTCTGAGGCACTTTCTGACCAATCAAATACTTAAACTTAAATAATTTCTTTGTAACATTGGATCCAGGATGCGCATCTGTTGCCTATTATTTTCAATTTATTTGACATGTTTCGTTGTTTTCTCAAGGGTAACTGTACTGCCTTGTCAAAAATTCTTCTAAAAACTGAGACGGATTCGTCTGTCTCATCGATATTTGCATAATGAATATTGAATATTGACCCTAGAGCTGAATTTGCTTATTTGCTGAACACGTTATCTGCTTTTTTAAACTGCTATCTTTATTTTTTAATCAGAGCTGACTCTTATTTCACAGCCAGTTCGGCATTAATATTAAATGAATTGAATATCTCAGGACTGGCACTGAATTTGATGTTAGCCCTGTATTCAACTGTTTATAATGCTCTACGTTTGTAACGTCGCTTTTTTTATTGGATACTCGTTACGTTTAAATTGTTTATGTACACGGCTGCAGTTAATATATGAAAAAAAATCAATTTTTTCTCTGAAAGAAAATGATGTTGTGTTTTATAATTAATTCGTTATAAAGATTACAGACAGATAAGCCTAGCGGCTTAGCTTATATTACCTTTCAACCGTTTATATGGTACCACATAACCTGTCTAAATAATATATATAGTTTTTCGACAACTCAGAGGATGCTGTGATTTTGAGACCAGCACAATAAGTTACGCATTTACAAATGTATATCGAGCCTGCGTTCAGCTCAGCCATTCTTATAGTATTACCTTTGGTATTTAAGAATGTTTAACATCGATCTCAGAATTGGCTTTGAATAGATCTGCATTGAATGAATTTTAACTGTCGATCTCAGAATCTCATAATCGCATCAAAACCACATCTGTCGGTCCACTATCCTTTCCTAGGTAAGTTCGTACGAAGAGAAACGGAGCGAAAACAATGATCTGATTTTAATGAGATAGAAACCCCAAGCTTGCTATAAGTTTAAACTGAACTCGAATTTCGCTCATGTAACGAATTTGAATAATTATAAATCTCAAAGCTTGGTGCAAGCATGGCAATTGTCTTTTACAAAAATCATTATCGGTCGCAGAGCTAGCTAGCACCCAAAAAAGATTCGATACATTTTAAAATTCGACTGTAAAATTTCTAATATCGATCTTAGGACAAATTTGCAATTTGAGATACTCTTCCGTTGTTTGAAATGAATGTAGATTTCAAAGTTTGATCGAAATTTAGATTAAGCTCAAATTGTTGATCCTGTAAATTGACGAAAAAGATATAATGGTAAAAAATAATTAAAAAACAATCCCAGGGCCAGGTCGAGATTCCAAGCTAGCTGGATATTGGATTTCGATCTACGTTTTCAGATCTCATTGCTTGGAGATAAATTTATGGACTCCTTCGTCCTTAAATAAATCTTATTTTCCCAACAACTCCGTTTAAAAATTAGTATCAGTGTTGTTATATTTTTCAAGTCCTTTGGGATCATTGATGCCAGCACTATTGAGTGTTGAGAATTGAGTACCGCTCAAGCCGGTGCTAGGGGGCGTGGGGGATGTTGCACGTATTCAGTATCCCTCATATCCAGATTTTTTTGCTTTAGTTTCATCAGTTTTTTGTAAAATCAGTCATCAGTTGTATTCAGTTCTCTGTGGTTAGTTGTATTATAGTTTGAACACCTGCACTTAAGTTACCGTACTGAGAATACAAATAGTGCATGTTCGCTGTGTCGGCTCATTTTTCTGGGGTTTACCTTTTGTGACGATATGGAAAGGGATGACGATAGAAATATCATATTTAGATGCCCGTTCATTGGTTACTTTATTCTGAGGTTTCTTATTCTGACAAGGGAATTTATTTTCGCCTATCATACAAAAGACAAAAAACATTAAAAAAGACTCAACAATCTGATTGATACCTCGTGTTTCCGTGCTCCTTCTATTGTTTATTATAACCGTATATTCAAAAACAAAAATAATTGCCTCTCCGTTTCGAGTGTTGTGATACAAACAGAATTCATGAAACTTCGCTTACTAGATTACTGTATTTAATTATATATTAAATTTTTAAACATAAAAACAAAACAAACTCTGTTATCCATTTAATCATTTATCAAAGTAATAATAGTAAATTTGTTAAAAAGGAAAAAAAGCACAATTAAGTATATAAGAAGTAAACTTATTTAAGATATTGAAAATAAACAACAAAGCACGTTACTGTTAAAACAGTTCAGAAAATAAAAAAAATCATATACATGTAGTTACGCAGTACAAAATGTATTCTTTTTATTCATTAGTACTTTGTTTCAGTTCATGAAATTCTTGAGTATCAAACATCAACAAATACTAGTAGAGAGTAGCAGAAATGAAAACGTATTATATGTTTTGAAAATTGTTAGTTCACTGTTCAACTTCTGAAGAGCAACACCATTTGAGAGTGAAATGTTTTGGCTGTTGCTTAGAACTTATGTTCTGGTGTTGCAATAGAGGTGTTACATTGATTGTGGTCGTACTTTTTGACTGGTTGGAACCGTCGAGGTAAAGAGGTTATGGCTTAACAAAGGGATTTTGCAAAACATGCATTGTAAAAGTTGATAAGAGTTAGTGAAGGTAATATGGCTAGCAGTGATATATATGAAAACAATTTTAAAATATAACAAAAAAATATGTCGCGAAATGAAATAATTAAAGTCCGGCTTCTTCAAAAAAAACACTCCCTTAGGACACACATTTTTGGTTGTTGCTGAAACGTATTGTTATGGAATGGCAAAATGTAAAGAACCTGGAGAAGACAATCTCGATCGGAATGATTGTTATATCAAGAAAGCATTAATTTACAAACAATATTAACATACTTAAGTTAATAAGGTTTGTTAAGCGACATTTAGTTAGTTCTAGAAAATGATTGAAGAAGAAATATAATATTATATATCTAAACTTAAATGCTATAATAATGATAATAAATGAAGAAAATACACAATCTATTATAATGGTATAAAAATGAAATGTCTTTTTAAAGATATATTGTAGCATTTTGTGAAGAACAAGCTTGTCATTTTGATGTTTTTTTCCAACCAATAGTACTACAAACATCGTGTTCATCATTCAACATTCATTTACTTGGGCCAGCTCTTGAAGTCTGTTTCCCCTTTTTTCATAATGTCAGAACATCGTGTCCTGAAACAAGAACTCAATTTTTTTAAGCATCGAAGTGGTGATTTATTAATATCAAAGATACATTTTGTTCGTTAAAACCGTTAGGACCGGGTTGTTCAAAACATTGGTTAAAATTAGCCTATGGATAGCTTATCCACTGGCTAAATCCTTATCCAGCGGCAAGCTTTCCAGTAGATAAAATTTCATTGTTCAATAGTTGGATAGTACACTGGCTACCTAACCAGTGGATAGCGTATTTATTCACTGGTAAAGTACCACAATGCAACAGGGTTGGTTAGTGATTCTGGAAACAAAATGACTGATTTTTTTACATATAATAAATTCATTAGAATCAAAAAGCTCCCAAAAAATATTTTTGCATGTTTTGTGCTTTCTTGTTTTTGGAATTAAACAAAAAGTATATCAGAGGCCTTAAAGTATTGCAGATAGATTTATTTTTCCCTTAGACACACATAAGAAAAAATTCCAAAACAACTTTTTTTCAAATTTGAATTGAAATTACTTCCATTAGATGAGTAATGTTCTAACTAAGAAAATGAGTATTGACACTTGTATGTTTTATCAAAGAATAAGAAAGTTATGACTGTTTAACTGAATTTTCTGAACTACAACAACAACAAATTTAGATTGAAAAAGGGTTCTAAAAGCACTTTTTCAGAAATGTTTCAATTTAATCCTATGCATTTCATATAAAATGTTCTAGTTATGAAAAATTAATCATATTTTTGTTAAAAAATTCGGGTTTAAAACAAGTTTAAATGATTTTTACTGTTTTACCACTGGTAAAGGGCATTATCCGGTGGTCATAGGACTGGTAAAAGTTAACCGCTGGATTACGCATTTTATCCGTTGGATAAGTTTTGAGCAACAGAATTTATCCAACAGACAAAATTTAACCAGCGGATAATGAATTTAACCACTGGTTAACACTAACCAATGTTTTGAACAACCGGATCCTGCTGTCCGATAATAATGATGTTAGAGAAGATGATAACGATGAAAGTGATGATAATGACAACGACGATGATAACGACGACGTTGATGCTGAAGAAGGCAGAAATACCTTTTACGTATATGAAAATCAACAATCGATTTTATTTGACGTTGAGCTGACTTCATACGCAATAAAAGATACACAATTATCTTAAGTAGGACACAGTCTCAGTATTTTAATTATTCAAGCTGAATATTTTTATGAAGTAAACAATATCAGGTTGTCAGCTGTTTGCTGAATTTCAGAAATGAATGACCCATCTCTATTTATGACACTCTTAATCAAACATAAAATATAAAGTTTGTCAGTCAACAGTACAGCGCCTGGTGTCAAACTCTACAGTGCAGGATGCACTGCCTTTATACTACTGACATAGGCTTATAATGTCCATCAAGGCAAGGATTAAAAACAAAAACAAAATGCAAACCATTTTGAGTTCGTCTTGAAGACTTCCTCCCTCATTACAGTGACGCCGAGATTACTGCAAAGGATTCTAGCTAGAGTGACCTTCTTAATTTCACGTAGCTGTTCTGTAATTGAAATAAATAATTATGGAAAAAGTTTTGATTATACTGATGATGATAATTATGAAGACATCGATGATGAACATGATGATGGTGATGATGATATTGATGAGGATGACATTGTGGCTGTGGACACGGTATTGATAATGATGAAGATGACATCGCCGACGACAACGACGAAGATGATGGTGATAGTTATAATGATAATAATGATGAAGACAGATCGATCAGGACGATGATGATGATTATGATGATAATGATGATAATGATTTAACAATAATAATAAGAGGCAATAATAATTGTATTGAAAGTAATCAGATATCAATGCGTTTTTTCTACCAAGTTCAACGTTTTTCAGATACAGGTTTCCAGTTCTTTTATTCATGAATTAAACTTACGACCTTTGAATCCATGATTCTCATTTTCATACCAGAACCTGTCACCATGTTTGATGTTTGAGAAATGTTTAGCCAGAAGACACGACTGTGTGGCACCGGATATAGAACCTGGTAAAGGGGTTTCAGCTATCATACCAGTCCAGAGGTCAACATCTTGGACATCTCTATATAAATATATATTAGATTATATTTCATCTATGCATAATAAGGATAAGTATGACATAACCGTTGTCTAAGTAATAGAAAGAGCATCGTAACACGGGGCTATCTGATTTGTACGAGGAGGCGTAGACCCCGAGTAAATATCAGATTGCCGAGTGTTTTGATGGTCTCTTAGACAAAAATAAAAACACGTTCCCTGATGTCACAATATGAAACCCAAGACAAAATAACCACTCAACGATCATCTGAATATGATATTTCTATCGCGTCGTCACAATATGTAAACCCCAGACAAAATGAACCAATCAATTGGCATGCTTTGGAGTGAGAGGGTAATTAATACCTGCACTCCAGTTAAGGCAATCTGCAGATATACGATTTAACTCTGGCACATTTTCAACAGAAATGTCCCCAAACTATGATATAAGCATAAAAATGGCCCTTTGTGCATACAACTATCATAAGTATTCTTATTTATTATGTAAAATGCATAAAGTATCACTAATTGGATATGTTGTTTTTGTGGATATGTTGTTTTTGTGATGATGGTGATGATGATGATGATGTTGTTGTTATTGTTTTTAACTGCAATATTTTGTTCAGAGGTAAATAGACGGTTATACTACTGAGGCCTCTTTAGCACAATGGTTAGGGCTGCAAATCTATATCTTTTGCCCCTCGCTGCTGTTGGTTCGAATCCCATCAGTGATATTCGATTTTACCTTGTGAGGAAGCTGAAATAGCTTTCCAGCTAGCTTTTAGAATGTCGATGGCTGTACTAATACGCCCGCTTGTGAAATAATGCCCTAAGTGGCCCCGAGGTCTTCATTCACCAGTATACTCTCCAGCACATCGGTCCAATGTTCCACTATCGCTCACACACGTGAGCGTTTTCACTGAGCTGCGATGGGAGCGTCGAATAAGCGTCGTATGACCCTTACAGTGTCGGTGTAACTTTGCTTATAAACTGTAATGCTCATAAAAACCATGACACACGACCTTCATTTCTTGTTTCTTGAAATAAAATACTAAATTTAAATGCATTTCATTAATTGAACTTACTTGTAAACACTCTGCATCTTTTCGATATTAGTTTCACTTGTTGTGTCCTTCAAATCATACCAAGATTTAGGGTCCCCCAGGTCACATAATTTACGGTATACGGTATAAGACGGCGTTCCCCATTCCCGTCCTCTCAGGATATTCAGTGTTGCCAGATCGTTAGAATTTCCGTCTTTGTCTAGGAAGAGCAGATTACGCGTAGCGGAGTTCATTAACCTGGAATATCATGTGTAACGGTTTAAACGGCGATTTAAAGATAATTCTATGTCATTACTCGGTGGTCGGTGCACATTATCCACTTTTCTGGATAATCATATAATGCGTTACCAATTTCTTTAAAGGTAACTGACTGTTAATTCCAAATGATTTCAAAGTTAACTGTGACAAAAAGGACTCTTAGACGCAATGTCCGAGGAACAAGCCTTTAAACTGATTTTTGAAAATTTGTTTTAAAGCAGCACGCCCTCAGATACATGCTAATTTTCGTGAAACTTTCGAAAATGTTTCAAAATGTTAGATATAATTGAAAAGTGAACAAAGAAAAACAATTACATTTTAAACATCACTTGCAAACCATGTAAATAACCAAACAGAGGTCAAAATTACATTATGCAAAATAGCCCTTACTGGGATAGCAAAGCGGTAGCAATACGGTGAAATATACTGCAAAATCGGTCGCAAATCGCACATAAAAAAGACATTATTACTTTTATATTGAATCTTGTTTGTTTTCTTAAAATCTCAGTATTGTTTTCTCAAGTTTGATTTTCTTTAAATATTTTGACTCATCTCGAGGCATGCAGCTTTAATGAATATGCTTACTTATAGAATGTTTATCTTATCTAATACTTATTTTCAGTTTAAGCGCAACAGTTAATTTATGGTTTTATGATTTTAGGCTATTGGATTTCGATGGAGTTTCTTGAATGTATCCTTAATTTTTTTCGGAGGTCAGAAGGATAGTGTTTTTTTATTTATTTCATTCTTTTCTTATCTCTTTTTAAATTTTGCCATTCTAAATCATTGACATACAAAGAGCACAAACCTGTCCACATGTGGGCATTTGCTTACAACCATGCCAAGGGTCACTTCATTAATGCCATTATAGTTATGATTCGTCACATGCAGTGGTGTTCGGATGGCAAACTCTTGATTTTCTTGTTCAAATACCTCAGCAGCATTTCCAGTCTGTCTACCTAGGTTTAGTTTATGCGGCATTAAATTGTGGTACCTGCAAAAGGGTAGACGTATAACGTACAAAACAATAGCCATCTCGTAGGTACGTGTACATTTGAATTATGATAAAAATATATAGGTAATAGTTTATTGTGATGTTCAATTGCAATCAGTTCTCACTGCTCGTTAAAGTTGCATTTGCTGTTACTGTAAAAATGCATGTACTACACTTACGAAATACACATTCATGCGTTGTGAATCGGCTGTTGTATATTCAAATGTTGTACACTCACGAGTTGTACACTTACATTGTGAACACTAAAATGTTGTACACTCTAATGTTGTACACTCACAAGCTATACACTCATATTTTGTGCACTCATATACTATTCATTGACATGCTGTACACCTACATGCTGTACACTCACATGTTGTACACTCACATGTTGTACACTTGCTTTTTGCTTTTGAAATGTTTGCATCTGGGCTAATTAAGTGTACAATTTAAATATTTGTACTGACATCTTTGTGTCAAGTAATAGCGTAAAAAATTGTCTAAATAGCAAGGGTCAAGTAACTTATAGGCCCAGTAAAAGGTAAAGGTAAAGATCTTATTTATTATAGTGTCACCCCTACTGAAAGGGCCAGCCATTTCTGACTTATGAGACATCTTTTGCTTGCATACCATGTACATCCCAACCCCTACCACTATGCCAGGCGCCAGGCGGATAGAAATCGGTAACCATTCATTTTAACTACCTCGCGGCTCACGAAGCGGCCATTTCGAAACGAGTCCCACGAGAAACATTCATCCTTGAATTAACTCTCCCCGTGGGGCTCGAACATTCGACCTCCCGATGCGAAGGCGGACGCCTTAACCACTAGGTCAACGGTACCGGTATGCCCAAGTATGTTTTCTTATTGTTGTTTCTCCTATTTTTAATGTTTCATTTTAGTTTCGAAAAGGTACTCACTAGCCAACTGCTTGGAATTTGTTTTACTTCTGTTGCTTTTTGGCAATTAGTACAAATAAATATCAGTGCTGTTGTATTTTGTATTGACGTTGAAATACTATTATTTTTTATTTTGCTACTTTTGCGACACTCCACACAACTGTCACACTTACACTACATACACTTAAATCATTCGTTTTACGTAACAAAACTAACTTCTATTTGCCCTTGCTAAAGCTGTTTTATTCCGGCATAATCTTTTTTTTATAAAGAATACAGTTGGCTTTAAATACCTGTAACAAATGGAAAACGCTTGTGTCATGGACGCGTCTGTACTTTCATCATACTTATATTCTGTGTTGACTTTATGCTCTCTGAGCACATCTTTATCAAAAAGTACAGGTAACATCTCCCTTAAACAAAACAGAGAATATATGAGCTGCGACACGACAAAACCAACATAATGGGTTTGCGACCAGCATGGATCCAGACCAGCCTGCGCATCCGCGCAGTCTGATCAGGATCCATGCTGTTCGCTATCAGTTTCTTTACTTGTTATAGGGTCTGTAAGCGAACAGCATGGATCCTGATCAGACTGCGCGGATGCGCAGGCTGGTCTGGATCCATGCTGGTCGCAAACCCATTATGTTGGTTTTGTCATGACACGGCTCATATTACTTTTAATAAAGATAATTATGTATTTTCGAATTAAGCCTTAAACAGAATAAAATAAACAACAACAACACTACAATAACTATAACCACTACCAGTACTACCAGCACTTCACTAATACCTAATGAGGCTGTGGGTTCGAATCCCAACAGGGACTTCGGAATATATTATTTAACTTGCTTACGGAACGTGGTTGGATCTACTCACTAGTCAGGTGTTAATTCGTGCCTGAAATAATGCACAGAGGAGCATCTAAGGTCTTCCTCCACCAGTAAAGCTTAAACTTTCCGAAAATCACAACTCAATTTAATCACCACTACAACTACTACAACTACTACTACTACTACTACTACTACTCAGACTTCTACCACTACTTCCACTCTCACCACCAATACCAGTACCACTACCACCACCTGCACTACTACAACTACTACTTCCATCACGACCACCACAACTACTGCTGCTACTGCTACTGCTGCTACTGCTGCTGCTGCTACTGCTGCTACTACTGCCACTGCTACCACTGCTACCACCACTACTACTACTACTACTACTACTACTACTACTACTACTACTACTACTACTACTACTTCTACTACTACTACTACTTCTACTACTACTACTACTACTATACTACTACTACTACTGCTAACATCACCACCACCACTACTACTACCACTACTTCTACTACGGCTATTGATAGTGATGCTGCTGCCACAGCCAATGCCTCTACCACATAACCATTACCTTCACCTCCACTACTACTACAACTATCATACTTAAACATTCACTACCACAACCTATGATAATTACAACACAACTCATAGTCAAAGTAAAATTAATATAAAAAATGAAACAAGTATATCAAATGGGTGTATATTAATAAGAATATGCACACTTACTCGTAAACAATGTGTTGTATAAATGCTGAGATGATTTTCCTGGTCTCTTGAAATATCCTCTCATCACTCCAGTCATGAATTGCCTGGAACTCTTTTGCAATACGGTTATGTTCCCGGACAAACAAAGTATGGTATGTCAGAAGCCCGGGGTGCACGTTCGCTCGTGTATCCCCTAAATAAATTGTAAGAAGAAAATAGATGGAAAATAAATTGTCAGTAAAAAGAAAGGGATATCAGATACTCGTATAACTTCTTTAGTAAATCAGAACATTCCTCCGAAGCAAAAATTACGATTTTATATGGGATTTTTAACAACATGTCGGATTAATTACTAAATAAATAAGAAATAAGAATAGTACAATAAGACTGGGATACACATTTTAAACACATACCGATTAATCTGTTCCTTCAAACAGTCACTAAAAAACTCAAAATGATATTTATGTTTTGCTAAGCAACTATTTACAAATTAAATAATTCTTGAAAACAGATTGGTAACTTGAAAACTGGTTGTATTGACTGAGTCTTTTAAAAAGATACATCTTTTTATGACTTTGAAAAACTGTCATTCGTTTTAATCCTTTGCCTGTTGGCGGAGACTAAATCTATTTATGCGACCAATGCAGACCAAGATCCATTTCAGTGTCGTCTGACCATAGTCTCCATTGTGTGTTAGTGAGTTCAGTGCAGTTTATGAAATTATCACCGAAATCATTCTGGTAGAGTACATACTTAAAATGATGGAGTCTATTCATTTAGCGGGATAATGGTAAACTTTTTTCTCGTAACTGTATTAATTAATGACCAAGAACAGAGACACAAAAGAGAAAGGACATGGTGTGATGTCATTTGCGTTATACAGAACAGAAATATAACAGAAAAGCGTGTCAATAAAAAAAGATTGTTTTCGAATTTTCACAGCCTTTATTTTTGGATTGTGACAAATAGATTATTATCAAATAGAATATTATATTCGTGTAGAGTCACTGTGCACCTGTGCTCGACCAGCCCAGTGCTTGTCCAATACTTCTAGTTATGTACGATTTATGCAATAAAGTAAAAATAAAACTCGGAGTTTGTTTGTGTTATTTGTACCTGACGTATAACCTCGACATGATGTAGAAGAACTCCGGCTTTGGTAGACGCTTACCCATTTTGCAGACGATATCAAACAGTACAAAAATACACTTCTATAACCGAGATTGCAGTAAAAAATCTATATTAGTAGTGAAATAATTATAAATTAGGGCAAAGTTGGACAATATATTGATAAATCAACTTTACACTTACGTTACCAATTGATTTTCATATTAAGAGAAGACCCCGAAAATCATCAAAACCCGGCTTTCCATAAAACGCAAGGGCTATGAACATGAAAACAAATATGGCAGCTGGTCGGTAACAATTAGGGAACACAGTACTAAAAGCGTAGACCAACTAAATATTACATAAAGTATCACACTTAACTATGTTGTGCAGAGTTATTTTATTTAAAAATGTATGAGAAAATATAAAAAAAAAATGTATAAGATCGAAATATATATTTTACCCCGTGAGCAACAAAAGTTCATATTTCACTCGTGGCTGGGCCACTCGTGAATTATACCTTTCAGTGCTCACTCGGTAAAATATATTCCGAACTAAATCTTCACAATTTTTTTTATTATATGCAAAGAAACGTTAAGAAAGTCATTTTATCCTAAAAAGAAATAAAAAGCGCCAAAGAATAATACATTTACGAACTAAAGTATGCACACTGGTATATCACTGAAATAACGTAACGGGCTAAAGCCCGGTAAAGTGAAACAATATTAAATTGATATTTGCACTGTTTCAAATAGTGAAATATCACTTTTTTATTTCACGGATATATTTCTATAAACCACTAAAAATCATGTAATAAAACTGATTATTATATACTTATGAATAAAATATTAAAAAATATTGATGAAATAAAAATATCAATGTCAAATTTATTTTTTTACTGCAGTGAAGCATATTTTCCGTATTTTCACTGGTACCTTGCCTGACTTTCTTCTTAATGCAGTCAATACACAAAATTAAATGAGAAGTCTTAAGAATTGTATGGTCAAAAAAAAGAGAAAAAAGTCTATAATAAACAGAAAATTGAAGTTATATTCTATAAATACAGGATATATTTTCATCTTGTGATATGAAAATTACCATATTTCATTGGTGGCTACCGCCATTCATGAAATATTTATTTTCATACCACTCATTGAAAATAAATCTTGTAGTTATAGAAAAAAACTCGAATACCATCTGTATATTTTATATGTCAATCGTAACGTCAAAGATGTCACGAATGTTTTGCAACAGTAAGATGACGTCACTTAACGACGTCATTTGACAACGTCTCCTAGCAATACCAGAATGAGGGCTGAAAGATATCCACGATGAATGCTGCAATTTGCCATTAGCTGAAATGTCCTCACATAAGGTGAGAATCATAAAAGTTGAGCCCTCAGATGGTACGGGATCTTTACCCCCACTGAGGGCAGATACAAAGAAACTAATGGAACAACAGATTATGCTGACAAATAAAAGAAGTCAAGTTTTTACTTACAAGGGACCAGGACAGACCCGAAGTCGTTCTGTACCTGACAGAACATTTAGAGAGGTCCAATTTACGCATGCAAGGGAACACAGTGTTTCGAGGGCTACAGGGGCGGAATATCGCGATTTTTCCGACTCAAGCGACGATGATTTAGAAGAGGAGGAAGCCAAGCTAACAAATTCACCAAAGCAGAAATTAGAACAACTGGCTGCTGATATAAGTACGAGTTTAGAAGACAAAGAGGAAAATCATAGAAAGTCAATGGATGTATCAGCCAATAAAGTGGTAGAGAGTACAAACATGAAAAACGAGGCGGGAAATAAGGTAAACTTTTCACTCTTATGCTTAGCACAGTACTTATTACTAACTAAAATGAAGATAAACTAATCACAGTGATAATATTTTGTATGCAAATATCTTGACTGATACTTTTTTCATATCTAATGTTTATTATGTATTTGCTATTTGTTACATGTCTACGTCCTCGTGCGGGATTTGACATTAATATGAGGAATATATTTTATTTTTTATACACATGAAACAGGCATGCTTTTGTACTTCACGGAAAATATTCAATACTTCTGGCTTTTGCAATAAAATGGTCTATTAAGGGGTTAAAGTGAGTTATATCTTTTTGAGCGAAAATTGTAAACCCAAGTTTACAGGTGCAATGCACAAACCTATATCAAATTAACAATATGTATGTAAAGATACAGAACAGAATGACATTAAGTGTATCTAATTTGTTCTTTATTAGTGTACCTGACAGTTCACGTTCTTGCTTTAGATTATTGCCGAATAGCTTTGTTTGTCAATTATAATTGGTACTTAGAAATTCCGAATTTATTTCATTCTTTTCATGTATATCATTTATATTACACCAGATACTGCATCATTTATATCACACCAGATTCCTTACCATTTATATTACACTATAGTCTGTCCCATTAAAAATGGAAATGAACTTTTGCCTGGTGTGAATTAACAAAACGAGGTTGAATAAAAATTTAACTATTTTTGTAAACTAAAAAAAAGTCACCCTCGGGATTTTTCAGGATTTTACTCTAAAATGTCTACTTTTCTTGTGAAAGCAAATTTTGATTTCTCTATGGAAAATCTCTGTTGTTTTTTTTCCGTAGCCATTGACGAAGTACTCTTCTTTTGAAAATGAACGGGAGAAAGCACGTGTCATGTTTCTAAAATATACACGAGGTTCTCGGGGTCGTTTCATGATTATTTTACAAAGCTGGATCTACAAGATGTAACAGTTTAGTTGCAATGCATGATGAAAAACTTTAAAAAAATGAAAAATAAGCAACAAGAACACCGAGTCAAATGGATAAAATATCTAGAAATTACACTTACTTTTAAGCTTAATAGAATTCCTATGAATTTCGGAATAGATATTTATAAACGTCCCTTCTGAAGATTCCTTCATTGCCAGTATCTATCCAGTTCCGTAGATCCGATTTTTTCTACTTCGAAACTCCTAAATGACATGACTCCTACACATGATGATCCAGATTTTTTAAACTGTTAATCCCATAGGCACTTGGTTTCGGGATAAAAAGCCTTTTGAAGGGTTTGTAGGACTCAAATTTGATTGAATGTAACGATTTTTTATCGTAGATGTCTCGATTCTAAATTCGACATTTTTCCGATATTACTAAAAAATAGTAATATCGGAAAAATGTCGAATTTAGAATCGAGACATCTACGTTAAAAAATCGTTACATTCAATCAAATTTGAGTCCTACAAACCCTTCAAAAGGCTTTTTATCCCGAAACCAAGTGCCTATGGTTAATCCGTCTCATTATTAAAACATTGTTCAATTTATGGAGTTATCTGGGTTAGCAAATGAAATATGTAAATGAAACACATCATAATTCATTATGTTCCAAATCCATAATTCAAGAACGGCCCATCAATTTTAGTTGTCAACATCACAATGCTTATAACTCTTGAAAATGGATTCCAGACGAAACTTTATTACGTCAACAACAATTTACGAAATATATGACGTAACAATAATGCCTCGCGATTCCAGTTGCGGCATTGACAGAGAGCGGCTAGGCATTATGTAACCTCAAACAGATAATTTTAAGCGTTGAGATGAATTTGTCTTGATGGAATTTAAAATAATTTTTGTATACCCAGATTTTGCAACTTAACTGTAAAAATACACCTTCAATTCACATATGAATAATAAAACTTTTGATAACATTTAGATCATCTAGATAATTTTAAACACACTTAATGACATGAATCTACAACAATACAATACTTCTTCCATTAATTACATATTACATTCGTTTTCATTTTATGTTTTAAACAATTTTACATATTTCTCAGAAATAATTTCCCTACATATAATCTCGTTTTTCATGACTTCTGTAAATCCTACTATTTTAGCTACAAAATATACAATATGCCGTATTTTTCTCCCGCGAAAAATATGCTAGATCTATTGTATTTTCATTGAATATTTTTAAATTTTAGGAAGGCTAAAATTATTGAGAGAAAGTCACTTGGTGTTTCTCTTTGACTCGATCTCCCCTTCATATTAACATAATAATTATATGTAACACTTTGA